TAAACTTAAAACTAAAATTAAAACTATTATGCAAAGTTCACTTTTACATGGTGTTTGAACATAAATGTGTGTTGGTAGTGTATGTACACAACCCTCCTATAATGATAAAAAAAATCCACCCACTCCTCTTTTTTTTAAATCGCCATGAATAACAGTGTCTCAGAACAAGCAGTCACTTTGTACAAGCCCCGCCCACGACTGTTGATGGACTCTGACATATTAGCTTAGATCCCGCCCTGTACAACCAAGTTGTACACTGTCCATCATTTTACCTGTTAGTCGTAACAAGTGTTTTTGTGTGATGTATGTTGATGATAATGCAATGGAGAGAGAGAGTTTATGTATAAGACTTTAATGTGCAAATCTTGTACTGTGTTTTATTCAGCTCTTACACTGATTTTCTAGAGTGAAACAGATGGTTCATCTTTTGCGTGAAGTACAACTTCATAAAACTCATCAGTAAAGTTTTGACCATCATTCGGACGAGGTCCGCTAAAACAGGCTTGTACTAATAATGGATAAAAGCAAGATGACAACAGAAGTTATAACCAGGGCTTGACATTAACACCGCCAACCCGCCATATGCGGGTGGATTTCAGCAGTGGCGTGTGACAGAGTCACTCCTTGTAACGATGATCGGCTGGATTGCCCTTGAATTCCATGAGAGGGCACTCCACTTCTGAACTGCTTTACCCTGAACTGTTTACGCACACACCCTGAACTGATCACTCACACCTGTTTCCATTGATCACTCTCCCACCTGCATCTAGTTCCACACGCAGCTCCACACACATTTATACCTCACTGTCACTATCACCCTTGGCGAAGTCTTGAATGAAGGTATGACTCACTGTTGTGTTCAATTCCTAGCGTCTCCTAGTCTGTAATGTAGTCTGTAATCCAGTCTGATATCTAGTCTTGATTCCAAGTCTGCTTTTGAGCGTTTCCTAGTTTGCTTGCCCGTCTGTGTTTACGACCCTTGCTGAATCCTCTTCTCCTCGATTGTCTGCTGCCTGCCCATTGACCTTCTGCCTGTTCCCTGGATCTTGTGTCGTCTGATACCTGCCTCTGTTCTCCTGCCTGGTATTTGGATTGTGATTTAGCCTTGTCTTGCTGTGTCTGCTGTCTGTGACCGTTGCCTGTCTGACTATCCTGTAAATAAACCTACGCTGCGTTTGGATCTACCTGTGTCTGATTGTTCATAACCCTCCTACTAGCCACTTTGGCGGGCTGAATTGTATATGCCTAATACATTTTTCAATTGTAGTCTTTTAATAAGGCATCTGAAATAATAAACTAAGTGCAATCTAGTGTTGTCAAAAATATATATTTTTTCGATACTGAACTATCTGAAACTCTTCCGCAGGATGCACCAGCAATGCGTTCTCCCTCTTTAATCTGTCCAACAGTGAGTTGACACCCTTTACAGTCTATGTAAAGACACACACAAACCCGCTTCCCTTTACTCACTCATTTAATTTGCTCCGGATGAATATTGTTGGTTACAGGGTGAGGGATTGAGCATAATTGTACTCATTCCCGCAGATTTTGTGCTCACACCCAAAGTGCTTGCACATAAAGACAAGTATATTGGCTATTTAAAACTGTATAATGGGTCCGTGCGTCATGTCTCAAACCAACAGCAGCCTAATATACCGGCTGCCAAATAATGAGATAATATTAAAAATATCTATATGGCAGTTTTTCCCTATGGTATCGATGTGAAAATGCGGAGTGGCTAGTATCTTTGAAAAACCACTAGCCACAGTGGCTGGTGAGCAAAAAAGTTAATGTCAAGCCCTGGTTATAACCGTAATTAAACTAAACTATACCTGTTCTATATCCATACAGCATATATTCTCTGACTCTGTGGGGATTATTGTCTGACTCCGGTTCGAACTGAACACCGCTACTGAGAGTTTCTGACATTTTCATTGCGTGAGATTGTCCTGTCACTTGAGCATGAGCTCTTGAAGCTCCGCTCTCTTCATGAAAGAGGCCGGGTCCGCCGGGAGCACCAGCTCATTTGCATTTAAAGGGACCAAAAAGTGTCAATTTGAACATGCTATAAAAATTATCTGTGGGGTATGTTGAGCTAGAACTTCACATACACACTCTGGGGACATCAGATACTTATATTACATCTTGTAAAAAAGGGGAATAATAGGTCCCCTTTAATTATATTTCACATAATAATTATGAACGTAATTTTCCCCAATCCTGCCAAGTGCCCTATTTTTGGTTTGTGCCACTGTCCTGCATGATTTATATGCACAACCCTGATTAAAATTATAATTATGCATTTTAACAAGAGTTTTCAATAAAATCTGTTGTCTCCTTTATTGCTTGTTTAATTTTTGTTATGCTTGTTTTTATTTTTTATATGGGTCATTCTACAGAAATGTCCACTTTTGGTATGGCAAGAGATGTCTTAAAATTAGTGCTGTCAAACGATTAAAATATTTAATCGCGATTAATCGCATTAATGTCATAGTTAACTCGCGATTAATCGCATTTAATCGCACATTTTTATCTAGGCTATTCTAAATGTCTCTTGATTTCTTTTTGTCCCATTATTTTTTTCTCATTTTAATGCTCTTATCAACATGGAAAAGTGGATCGGCTTGCTTTGTGCAAATGTTTTTTATTGAAAACAATATTGGCATATACTGTGTTCAATTTCACACTAAAACATTATCACTTGGAGCAAATAATCTCTCACACAATATAACACTGTCCATCAATAAAAGGGTGAAAGAAATACTGACAGGTCCTGATATTGACGAGGGGGCGGAGAATTCGCATCAGCTGTGTGTGTGTGTGTGCTGGCCATCATCAAGTGGTATTCAGACTGGACGTGCTACGATGATGATAGCTCAGTTCACAACGACAAAACACACAGATCACTTTGGTCTTGTCAATGGAACCATTTGGCAACTTTTTAAAAGTAAACTTTCCATTCAGAATCTTATTGGCATCCATTTCGGCGTCTCACGCTCGTCATCCACTCAAAACTGGACGTTTTGAACGTTCCTATAACATTCAGAAATAACGTTTTTATAACTTAATGGGAACGTTATGAAAACATTCTTATAACCTAAAATTGTTAGCTGGGGAAGAGGAGAGATTTGCGATTGCACTGAACACGTTTTAAGTGCAGGCATATTCTCTGAGTGAGCCCAGAGAAAATTCTTACAAGAGCAGCGTGTATCTGAGAGCGCGCGCGACTCGAGCAGAGAGATTCGTGCTCGGCACATTATATTCCGCGCGCGAGCAGAGAGATTCGCGCTCGCAAGCCCAAACAAGTGTGTGCGGCGTGCCTGTTGTTTTGTTTCCGGTCTAGCTAGATTCGCTTGCGCTTTCAAAACGTCCTCGCGCGCCGCAAGCCATTGAAATGAATGGGTTTCATAGCGCAGCGGCCCGCATGCCGTCCTGTTGCAAAAGCATGTGAAAAAAAACCTACAAAGTTTGCTAGGCCAAAAAGACCGTTAATCGCGCGATAAAAAAATTAACGCCGTTAAAATGGGTTTGCATTAACGCCGTTAATAACGCGTTTAACTGACAGCCCTACTTAAAATGTATTTCTTTTTCTAACATTTAAACTTACACCACATTATTAGATTACCCTTTGACTTTATGAATATGCATAAATGACAGCTTAATGATTTTTTATATTTTTTGTGCATTTATTTAAAGATCGCATGTACCATTTTTTTGTCAATGGTGTTACCTTACTTCTTTGGCAATATTAAATGTTTTTATGAAATATTATTTCAAATTTTTTTCAGCACATGTAGTCAGGGTTATCAAAAAAAAATGCAACAAATAAGGAGATTATGTTTTTATTTATTTTAATCAGGTTTGTTAAAAGTGTGCTTGAATGAGGTTAGTTCATTTGCGCAACCTTGTATTTGCTATAACAATGAAAATATTTGAAAACCAGTTAATATCAAGTAATGATGCAATCCTTTAAATCTTAACTTGGCATATAATCTAAATGAATATTTGAGTAAAGTTTGTCTATAAATGGGAGTCACTGGTGTTACCCATAAGAAAGGTGACACCAGTGACAGTAACACCAGTGACAATTTTCATGAAAAATTCATTTTACAAAATGGCTGCTGCAAGGTATCAAACCACATGTTGTCAATCATGGTAACTAAATTAAGTAGTTTAATCCATTTGTATTCGCATTTTTTTTTTACAATTACCTAACAATAAATTAGGTCATACCAGTGACTTCAACTAAAAGCTTCATATGAAATCATGAGATAAATGAGAATATTTCTGATAACTGAAAAGAGACAGAGGATTTATTATGGGCTTTTCTTCATAGAAATTCAGGAAATTGGAAGAAGGAAGTCAAGTGATGTCATCAGTGTGATTTTTATTTCAAAATAAGAGATTTTTGTTTAACGGTAACACCAGTGACACAACTCCAGGGGACCACTACTTTCATTATAAATTTTATAATATTTATTCTGCATTTCGTTTTTTTATGTCATTTACATAATATATTAGATAGTTATGTTATTGTATTTTAAATGGTGTAAAAACCTGTTATTGACCTCAAAATAAAGCATTTTCCCTCTGTACATGACTTTGGGGACGAGCACTTCTGTGGTGTTTGGAATTCTATATAATAAATGAAAAATAAAATATTGCCACTTGATGGCTCATGTAATTGTTCAAATTGTTTTATTTTAAAATGTAAAGAAATTGTAATTCTAAAGTATTTTTTAAAAGTGTAATATTTCTGTAAAAGCTAGGGACAGAAAAATGGACATTTCCGTAGAATGACCCATATATAAAATAACATTTTATATAAATGTAACAAATTATTATTATTAAAGCTCATTGGACAAAACCATCAGCTACATAAATAAATGTAAATTAGTTTCATTTCAATAGATGGGTGGCAATAACATGCACCACTGCAATAAATAATTCCAGTCACTCTCATTTAGTTACAAGGAGCTGAAGTAATTTCAGAGTCTTACCACTTCCTCGAGGTAAAGCCACCCCAGAGAGAGCCTCCAAAACAGAACTCTTTCCAGAACTCTGATCTCCCACCACTGCAATGGATGGTAGATCTATATCCTTATCAATGGCGATCATCCTCAGAGAGTCAATCAACTCAATCAAAGGCTGAACAGACTCAATGAAATGACTGTGGGATGCTCCATGAGTTTGTGAGTCTGAAAATGAGCTTTATAATAAAAACATCAAACAGAGATATTATTTAGATCTTGTTTAGATGATTAATTAGATTATTTAAATTGTTTTTTTCTGAGTTTTTAAAGTTGTCATATTAAATGTACAATATGTACACACAATTACATATTTTCATGTTTAATTGGCAACAAAGAACAGTCAAACCGATACAAAAAAATAAGCTGAATACTGTACCTCCCTTCATCTTGGGAATCATAGTCTTTAAATTTGTCCGGATGATCCATGGTTTGTCTGAAAATGAATTAAGAATTCTAAGCTGATATTACTGAATTAATTAAAAAGAATGATTAGGTGTCTGCAATAAGCCAAAATAACATGTTAAGTCTTGGCAAACACCATGTTCAATGCAGTACCCAAATAGAAATGTAAAAGAAAGAAACTGTTGTCTCCTTACCTTATGCTTGCGTTGTGTGTAATAACAGTTAAACATCTGAAAGGTGCTGGTGTTATATAAGGTATTATTTATTAACAGAATGAACACCAATAAATCTAAAGTTGTAAGGAACTGTATATGACTCATGACTTGACTGAATTGTCATAGACATTATCTGTAGACAGGTTCAATCAGAACCTATTAAAAGATAAATTCTTAGTTTCATTTGTCCTTATCATGTTCATCAAGGCAGTTACGATGACTGTCAATATAACAGTAAAGATAATATTCAGTTTTGTTTTGCTTTTTTTTGTAATTTCTAGGTCCCTGTGCCTATCCTCCAAGTATTCTTTTACATTCTGTTCCTTAATTACTATGTTGATTTTTTTTTACTGTATGGTGGTGTGAGTCATTTGGCAAGATTTTATTTATTATTATTTTGTTCTAAGGACATTTTAACAAAAATATGTAGATTTTCCCCCTATGAAACTAACTCTAATACTTCCCCCAAATTAAGGCCTTTCTTAAAGAAAAGAAAATAGCATATACATTAAATAAAATAACAATTAAAAAACATACACAACACGATACACAACCGTAGTATTGAAGAGGACAAAACTCAAATAAAACACACGCTCCCTCTCGCGATGGCTCTCCGTCTGCGGTTGGCTCAGGCGTCATGTCCATCTCTGGCGGTGGTGTCTGGCTGGACTCTTGAGTCGGGAGTGAGGTGGGCTCCTCGGGGCGGACTGTGAAATCTTCATCACCTGCACACACTCCACGCAGCGAAATCCCCCTGGGGACCGTTCTCTGGTAAACGTGTACACGTAAAATACACTGAGCAAGTCAATGGTGTAGTCAAAGTGCGTCAGGTCAGGGGAAATCATGGGTGTGATGAAAAAAAATATATATAATAATAATAATCTAGGTCCGATCTTCAGTCTTCGGATATTAACGGATATTAAGAGTGATCTCTTTAGCCAAGCATTCACATAATACATCTCATAACCTTGTACTCCAGTTATGTCAGATCAAATGCACATGATTATATTTGCTGAATGTTATGAACAGCTGCAGCTATGCTAACTATTTTCCATTTGCTTTTCTGTTTTATTTCAGGATGGCCATCACGAGGTGACCAGTTTGGATCCCTCTTATAAAGACTTCAGATGCCCAACAACACCTATGAAGAGATGCCTCCAACTCCTGTGAGGATTTCAGATGATGCAAACTCTGAATCCACATGCACCAATGCTAAATTTCTATAAATTGTAATCATTATGTTCACAATTTGAAATAATGACTTAAATGAGCTAACTGTTACTGCCTTAAATGAATGCATTGTTAGTTAACTGTGTGATTTGCATATGTACTTGGACACAGTCACCTCTGATAACAGATCACTCCAAATTGTAATGTCACATGCATAACGTGATGCATATATTTGTAAGTGAAGAATGTTGCGTGAACTCAAATATTTAAGTACATAACAAAGGTTTTCTTGTTAATTTTAAGTAAAATTAATCCAAGTTGGGATTACTTAAAAAGTATGATGCAAAAATGGTGCATATATATTTTAAGTAAATCCAACACATCATTTTTTTTAGAGTGAGAAGCTGCTTTGAAACGGTATGTATTGTAAAGTCACAGTTCGTTGCAGGAAGAAGCACGACGATGAAGAAGTAGAAGTGAGGCGGGAAAACAGCAAAGTCCAAACATAATAGAATTGTGACAATTATATATAGTTATTGTATAGAATATGGGTTACAAATGTCTGTCCATTCACTGGGCAGGGCAGTCCACAAGTGATGGAGAACCAGTGAGTAGAAGAACATCAGGCTGGGTAGAGGAAAGAACGAGACTAGAGCAAGAGGTCGGTGCTGGCAGTAACGTTAAGCATTGAAGATACAGGCCGAAACAATCCAGCAATAACAAGAGTAAAGGAAGAACAATAAATAGGGAGGAACATAAGGAACAGGTCAAAAACAATTAACTGAAAAAAGGACATGACAAAGGATAAACTTAGAGGTGTGGTAAGAGGAATCAATGAAGAAGGAAAATGGTCACATGGCATCTTCAAATTCACTTGTCCTATGTAGGGGTCTGGGATGCTGGAGGGAATCAGATGCATGGCCAGCCCTTCACAGGGAGGGCTAACAGACGCACACGCGCACACACACACACACACACGCATGCACACAATAGGATTTAGTCTTTTATTTTTCTCCACCCTCTGATAAAGCAATTGCTCTGGCTGCCACTTTTGTAAAGTCAGACTAATTTATTGCTTTATGAAGGTAAAGAACTATTATACCTTATCAACCTTATCTGGCCTAGGCTATATTAGCTGAATTGACCAAACCCATATTACGGAGGTCGACCAAAGTTCCCCTTCTAACCACTTTATTATTGTCACAAATCTGGGGTGTATTCCAGAAAGCAAGGTTAACTTACCGTCAGATAAACCTTGAACTCTTGGTTGGTTAACCCCAAACTTGCTTACTCTGGGTATGTTGGTTCCAAAACACCTATGTTGAGTTAGTTTAATCAACCTCCTATTGTAACCCAGAGTTAATGCACGCGCACGGCGAGTACATAAAGATATTTTCAATGGATCGCCGATTTCAGGAGTCACCATGGAAACCAAGGGAGAAAAAAAGCGAGCTACATACTTCGATGAAACTGAGTTGGAGGTTTTAATGCTTGCTTATGAAGACTATAATCCCATTATAAAAAAAATAAAAAAAAGCAACACTGCTGCATCAGCAAAAGAAAGAGAGTTGGCTTGGCAAAAAATAACGGACAGAGTAAATGCGTGAGTTTGGGCTATTTTCCCCTTTCATTGTGACGCAAAAATTCTTTGGGGCAGCATGTATTACAAATAGACAAGTATTTACTTGTTGGCCTCCATACATTTCTTAATATTAAATTAGTAATTTACATAATTGGCTAGTTATATGTTGGCTTCTTGTTTTATCAGGTGTAATCCTTCTGGACTAAAGCGGAGCAGGACGTGGGCGTGGCCACGGCGGAGCAGACGAACCCTCGGGCGTCCAGGGCGGAGCAGGCTGTGGGCGTGGCCACGGCGGAGCAGTCGGACCTTCGGGCGACCACGGCGGTGAGGACCCTTCGGGCGGCCACGGACTTTTGGACGGCCGGGGCGAAGACATATGACCCCCCCCCCCCCCCCCAAAAAAAATACTTGGGGTGATTAACCGGATTATGGACAGGCTCTGGGACTATAACAGGCTGGGCAGACGTGGCTACAATTAATCAGTATGCAATGAACCCAAGCCGCATATTAGCCTTAACAGTGTTCAGGATGACTGTTTGCCTGATGCTTTTAATACTTTTTTTTTACGATTCGAAACGTTTGATTTTATGCATGATGTCTCCAGGCTGAAAAACTCCTTGACACCATGTAGTGATATTAAAATATCTCAAGAACAAGTTGAGGTTTTATTCAAGAAAACAAAAAAGAGGAAAGCCTCAGGCCCGGACCTTATTTGTGGTCACACATTACACCACTGTGCTGAACAACTCAGTGGTGTCTTTTCCCATCTTTTTCAAATGTGTGTTGATAATTGTAAGTTCCCAAATATCTGGAAATCTTCCATTGTTATTCCCAGCCCCAAAATTAATAGAGCTAGGGAATTACAAGATTTCAGAGCTGTAGCGCTTACTTCTCTTGTAGTAAAAAAAACTAGAGAAAATTCTTAAAGAAGAGGTTCTCACAGTGGTTGAGGGCAAACTTGATTCTTTTCAATTTGCCTATCAGAGGAATAAATGTGTGGATGATGCTAAGCTTTTTATTCTGGACACACTTTATAAGCATCTGGAGAAACCCCAATCTCATGCAAGGCTTTTTTTTTTGCTGACTTTTCATCAGCTTTTAACAAAATGCAGCCTCTCATTTTGATTGAAAGGCTTGCTTCTTATTTTAATTTGCCCGACCAGCTTTTTAGTTTTATTCTTAAATTTTCTGACTGACAGGACACAGAGGGTTTTAGTAAATGGGGTTACTTCAAAAACCCAAGTTTCCAACACTGGTTCCCCACAAGGCTGTGTACTTTCCCCGCTACTGTTCATTCTATATACGGATAGTTGTAGGTATTTTAAAGAGGATAGTTTTCTTGTTAAATTTTCGGATGATACTGCTCTGTTGTCACTTCTCCATGGCGCAGAGTCAGATCACTGTCGTGCACTTCCTGATTTGGTTAAGTGGTGTGATGATAGCCTTTTAGACCTTAATGTTTCTAAAACCAAGGAACTCATTATCCATTTTAGGAAAAAAGGGACAAATACCTCAGTATGCAGAATCCATGGTGAGGATGTAGAGATCGTAAATCACTATAAATATCTGGGGACGATTTTCGATTCTCAACTGAAGTTCGAAAGGAACTCGGAATCAGTGGTCAAACGGGCCCAGCAGAGAGTACACTTACTACGTAGGATAAATTCTTTCTGGGTTTCTAAACCTATACTGTGCACTGTGTATTTGTCGTATATTGAGAGCCTTCTTACTTTTTCTTTTATTTGTTGGTTTGGTAACATTTCAGTGAAGGATCGAAACTGTTTAAATAACATTGTGAAAGTCTGCTCCAAAATTATTGGAATTAAAATGTGCGACCTAAATTCTCTTTGGGAGAAACGTGTTCTTAAAAAGTAAAAAGCCTGATGTAACAACATCATATTCTGGGGGATGAATTTGTTCTTATGCCATCAGGACGGCGTTACTTGCAGCCCCCTAGAAAGACTAACCGCTATGGAATATCATTTATTCCCTCAGGAATCAGTCTGTTAAATATTGAGCTGAGGAAATAATTATGGACTGATCTGTTTTTGGCACTATGCACTTTAGGAGCTACAGATTCGCAACCTTGATGTTTTTTTTATTTTTTATTTTAATTTTTTTATTTATTTATAAACTGTCCTTGGACCCGGACCCTATCATGTTACCCTTGTTATACACTACATTCTACAT